GATGGACATTTAGGCTCTTTCCATAATTTGGCTATTGTTGAGAGTGCTGCTATAAACCTTGGGGTCCAAGTGCCCCTATGCATCAGTACTCCTGTATCCCTTGGGTACATTCCTAGCAGTGCTATTGCTGGGTCATAGGGTAGGTCTATTTTTAATTTTTTGAGGAACTTCCACACTGTTTTCCAGAGTGGCTGTACCAGTTTGCATTCCCACCAACAGTGCAAGAGGGTTCCCGTTTGATAAAAATATATTTTTAATTATCCAGATATTCAGTGAAGTAATTTGTTTTAACCAATAATTGATACCAAATAAACAGCATATGTCTGCGTGAATAACATAGCTGAGGAATGTGTCCTCTACTTTTGCAATTTCTAAGAGTTGGATTTAATTGTAATTACAAATTAATGAACTTGACCATGCTCACAGTACCCACAAGTTCTTCACTCAAGGTGGTATCAAAGTTCAAGGCAAATATCAGTGATGCTGGGTAATTTCACTTCATACAGAATCGAGCAGGAAGTTACAGGAGTTCTGTATAGTGTCAATTTCTACACAGACCCTTATTGCGATTCACTGATTCTCTTGGTAATTTCTATCGGAATAAAGATGGCCATGCAAATATTTGATTTAGGGAATAAGAAAATGTGTGGAGTATGAAATTCAGAACAGTAGGAAATGGTTTCTTGGGTTTTATGGATAGCGATGAAACACACATTGGAAGTTGCTGATGCATGTCCTATTTAGGTCCTGCACAAAGCACCTTTTTATAGCTATCTATAGGAATTAGTTTTCCTAGGGAGTGTAGAGGGTTATTAAGAATGGTTGGTTTATGGGAGTCTGGGTGCCACAAAGACCTGATAGGGTCTGCCTTTTGAGATTTTTGTGAACGAGTTAAAATCCTTGTAAGACCTAATGTGTTTGATACGCTTTTAGGTTATTACGTTTCAGATGAGAATATTAACACTTACGGTGCTCTGATTTTTGTTCGTAGGATGATAGTGACCTTCCTAAAACATCTTCTGGAAGAAGGAGAGTAAGTTAATCTGTTCGACTGACCTTTGTTGTTTGCTTATTCTGTATTTTGAAAGCAGCCTCAGATTTCAGGTGTTACTCTGAAAAGTTACCTTAATATGGGTATTGAGCATTTGTTAAAAGAAATGGGAAATCACTGAGAGGCGGGTAGTCAGGGAAGGTTTAGTGGAAGAGTTGGGACTTGAACTTTGTTTTCAGAATGAGCTGGAGGAGAAAGAGGACGTGCACAAAATAAGGAGCATTTGGGACCCATGTCACCAAGTAGGCACATGTAGCATGCCACTAGGCTAGTGGTAGAGCACTGGCCTGCCCAGTGTAGGGACTGAGTGTTGGGGTGAGCAGGGGGGCTGTGTCTGGCTGTGACGTTGGGAGTGGATGATGGTGATCTTGAAAACCAAGGATTTCATTTAAATTTAAAGGAGAGACTCAATTTCACCACCATAATAGATGCAGAGATTTTGAAGGATAACAGAATCGGTACTAAAGGAAGTGAGGAACCTGTTGCAAGAACTAGAGTGTAAGGCGGAGCTTCGTCAGGGACTGTGCTTGTGTGCAGTGGGAAGGCTGGTAGAGGAGGAGCCCTTGTAGGGGAATGTTCACTAGGGTTTGGTGAATAACCCTTTTTTTTAAATGACACCTGTTGGGAAGATGGAGTTAAGGAGAATGACGTATGGATATAATGAGTTTTTAGATACTGGGTTTGGTTGTAAGTTTTAGATACTAAGTTTGATTTGTGGCGTCACCAGCAGCTCTTGTGGTTATAATGTAATATATTAATTAAAGGAAAGGTTATTAAATTTTTTAAAATGTTTATTTTGAGAGACAGAGACAGTGTAAGTGGGCAAGGGGCAGAGAGAGAGAGAGAGAGAGAGAGAGAGAGAGAGAGAGAGAGAGAGACTCCCAAGCAGGCTCCGCACTGTCAACGCAGAGCATGACATGGGGCTCGAACCCACAAACCGTGAGATCATGACTTGAGCCAAAACCAAGAATCGGACATTTAAACAGACTGAGTCACTGAGGCACCCCTAAGGAAAGGTTATTAATTTAAAAATGCTTAACATTTTATTTTTAAGTTTTTTTTAATGTTTATTTTTGAGAGAGAGCATGAGCGGGGGAGGGGCAGAGAGAAAGGGAGACAGAGGAGCTGAAGCTGTGCTGCCAGCAGAGTCCAATGTCAGGTTCAAACTCATGAACTGTAAGGTCACAACCTGAGCCGAAGTCAGACTGTCAACTGAGTGAGCCAGCCAGGCGCCCCTAAAATGCTTAACATTTTAAATTTTGTCCAAATACTGCTTAAATTTAAGCTTTTTATCATACTAATTTTCCTAATATGCTTGCCCCAAATAACATTGAGAAGTTAGACTTGAAGAATTGTCATCTGATTGTCATTTTTGTATAATTTCTTATTTTGGGGGGAAAATAATTTCATTTTTAAACAAAATCCCAGGCGTTTAGTATCTGTATAGTATTTGCCTGCTGTGGCCGCCATAGCAAATCACAAATCTAGTGGCTTAAACAATAAAAAAAAAAAAAAAAAAAAAAAAAAAAAAAAAAAAAAAAAAAAGGGTCTTCTAGGTCTGTAGATTAGAAGTCAGACATGGGTCTCAATTGGAGCTAAAATCAGGGTGGTGGCATAGCTGTGTTCCTTTCTGGAAGCCCTAGGGTAGAACCCTTCTCCTTGTTATTTTTTAGCTTCTAGAGGCTCTTGTCCCCTCATCTTTTATCTTCAAGCCAGCAGCTTGAAGTCTCGAAGTCTCTCACTTTTAAAAGGACCTTTGTGGGGCGCCTGGGTGGTTCAGTCAGTTTAAGCGTCTGACTCTTGGTTTCGGCTTAGGTCATGTTCTTGTGGCTTCGTGGGTTCGAGCCCCACATTGGGCTCTGTGCTGACAGTGCGGAGCCTGCTTGGGCTTCTCTCTCTCCCTCTCTCTCTGCCCCTTCCCTTCTTGTCCTGTCTCTGTCTCTCAAATAAACTTAAAAAAAAATTTTTTTTTTAAATCACCTTTGTGATCACATTGGGCCCATCTTGATAATCCAGGACAGTCTTCCCATCTCAGGATTCAAACCGGTGGTCAGATCTGCCATGGATAGTGACAGCCATAAGTTCTTAAATTAGGATGCAGGTATCTTTGGGGCCATTCTTTAGCCTACCACTTCGTCTAATGTGAGTCTTCACTTTCTGTGAAAACGTGTTCTAAACTTGGGAGATAAGTGGTAGAATGAAAAATGTTTTCAGAGTAATGGATGTGACGTTACTGACCTTTACAGAAAAGTGGATTTCTTCTAAGTAGATAGAAAATAAAAGTAGCCACATTGTTATAGTACACAAGGCCACAGCTCATGTGCATTTTTACCACCGCACTATACCAGACTGCAGTGTGACATTTCCAAGACTGAAAAAGCTTATAATATTGTGAATGTATTTTTAGGTCCGTGATTGGAAAAAAACGAGCATCAAAGCCACCAACTATGTTGAAAATAACTGGAAGAAACAGTGTAAGGAACTAGTGAACTTAATTTTTCAGTGTGAAGATTCTGAACCATTTAGACAACCTGTTGATTTGGTTGAATATCCAGTAAGTTTTGCCATTGTTTGAATGTTTGGGCCTTCTCGTTTTGTTATAGAGATTGGGGTGGAGGTGTTTAAATTAAACTTTAACGAGTAAGATGTCTGAGCTTCATGTTAACTTTGTCTCTCACCACTAAGGCAGCTGTGGAAGAGTTGTATTACACAGTTTTTCTTGAATTTTCTAGACCCCTCATAACTTTGGCTAAGACTTAATCACTGCTACATCTTAATGGGAGGATCCTACATGTTTATCTGTTTTCTTAGTAGGCTCAGCCCCAGGAAAACTATAAGTTGGATAAAAGCTCTGTATTCATTCCCCAAATATGAGAATGGAAAATGACCTTTAAAAAAAAGATTACAAAGCACAGATTTACTGTAAAAGCTTAGAAATTACATTAAGAGTATAAAGAAGGAAATGAAAACCATTTAATATCCTACCAGATATATCATTTTGGTATATTTCTTATTTTTTCTGTATGTCTGAGCCTCTTTTTTAAAAATTATTGATGATTCTTAAGGTCCTTCTAACCTTTTTCTTTTCTCTCATTTTGAATGTTTTGGAGATCTGATGCTCGTAACATTTCTAAAAGTAGGAATCAAATCTTTGAACTAATTCTTGTTTTTAAAACCTAGGACTACCGAGATATTATAGATACTCCAATGGATTTTGGAACAGTAAGGGAAACTTTAGAAGCAGGAAATTATGACAGCCCTTTGGAATTTTGCAAAGACATCCGGTTGATATTTAGTAATGCAAAAGCATATACACCAAACAAAAGATCAAAGGTAATTTTAAAAGTGGTTCTCAATGAAAAGAGTGCGTGGTCTGTGTTGATGATCATTTTCCACTTGCTGGTACGTGTTGGAACATTAAGGATGAGTGAGGAGGGCGAGAACACTGGTAAGGCTAGAGCTCTGTCTCTCTCCCCTCACCACAGTTAATGCTTACCTTTCCTAATGTCGTGGAAACAAATGGGAATTGGAGGCAATGAGGCCACCAATGAGGAATGAACAAATTTAAACTTGATACATAGGATGGGAAAAATCTGTTTTTATACATGTAGGAATCTTGAAGAGTGGACTTGAAATTTAATGATAGATTCTGGAAGATAATTAAAAGTAAGAAAAGGAAAATCGGAAGTGGGGGTAAGACTCCTGAGAGCATAGTAATATTTCCAACCCAAAGAGGAGACACATGAGCCAACTGATTATTGGAGAACACAGGTGGAGAGTACACCCCTAAAGTTGTGTTAAAATGTTACATGTTGGATAACTTCTCATAACTTGTTGAAGCACAGTGAACAGACAAAAGTGTACATAAGTCTCTCAGTGAATTCTCACGAATAATCACAAACCCTTGTAGCCAGTGTGCTGGTAGTTTAACAAAGAGGGATGATTTGAGAAGACTCTAAAGAAAGCACTTGCTTAATATTATAGCACTTTGTCTGTGATCAGCAACTATCGCTGCTAAGTAACCATTTTGCCTTAATTTCACTTTCTCTTTATTATCCCCAGACTCTCCTGTGTTAATTATTTCTCAATCTGAGAACTGCTTCCTTGGATTCAATGTGCAGATTTCACATCACTTTAAATCAGTTTAGCATCCGGTCCAACATTTTTCCAAGTTGATGCTATTGTCCGTATTCACTGTTATTGAGACTTTCTTCCCAGAGAGAAATTTCATTCATGCTTTCCCTCGCCTTTTATGTAAAATACTATTTGAGGATAGATATATCATCAACTGTAGAACTTACTGGATTTTTATATATTATCAGAGTTTCAAAATTGCGGTTAAATATATGTAACATAAGCTTTATTATTTTAACCATTTTTAAGGGTATGATTCATTGACATTAATTATATTTACAATGTTCAACGATCACTGATTTTCCTAAAACTCTTTCATCACCCCAAACAGAAACTCTAACATGAAGGAGTAACTCTACATTCACTCCCCGCTTAGCCCTTGGTAAATGTCTCATCTACTTTGGATGCATTTGTCTGTTCTAGATACTTCATACATGGGATCATACAACATTCGCCCTTTTGTGTCTGGCTCCTTTCGTGTCTGGCTCCTTTCACTTAGCAGAATTTCTGAGAGGTGCATCCATGTTATAACACGCATGAGAACTTTATTCCTTTTTATGCCTGAATGATATTGCATTGTATGGGTATATAATATTTTGTTTATCCATTCATGTCTTGATGGACAGTTGAATTGTTTGTTTTTTGGCTCTTATGAATAATGCTGCCATGAATATGGATCACGCCATCTGCTAATGGCGGTAGTTTCACTTCTAACTTCACAATCTGAATGATCTTTCTTGCTTTGTCTTTCTTCATATTCTTTCTTTCTGTCTTTCTGTCTGTCTTTCTGTCTTTCGGTCTTTTTTTTTTTTTTTTTTTTTTTTTTTTTTTTTTTTTTTTTTTTTTTTTTGTCTAATTGTTCTGGCTGGGATTTAAAGTACAGTATTGAATAGCAGTGGTGGAAGCAGGCAACCTTGTCTCTTTCCTGATCTCAGGGGGAAGATTTTCCATATTTCACCATTGTGTATGATGTTAACTGTGGGGTTTTTTCATACATGCCTTTTTTCATTTTGAATAGCTAATAATTTTAGCACCCATTTTTGTTCAATGTTTATGTTCAACTCAAGTGTATTAACTGAATTTTATATAAAACCCAATGAGAAGACATAAAATAATATGAAAGTGATTCTTAAGAGAATCAGATTTCAAACTTAATATGATTAAGGAAATAAAGCCACTTGTTAAAATTGGTGACTAATGTTAGAATTCACATTTGAAGGGAAAGAGTAAGGTATACACAAAATACTGGAAATGTCAGTGATCGTTTCAGATGAAGTGGCATTTTGAATTTCACATGTATTGTGTATATATATGTGTGTGTGCATGCATATTTATAAAGCGTATAAGAAATTGCTATAGCTCACATACCTAAAAAAATACATTTTTCTAAATGTTTATTTATTTTGAGAGAGAGACTCCCAAGCAGGCCCTGCAGTGTCAGTGCAGAGCTGGATGCAGGGATCAAGTTCATGAATGGGGAGCTCATAAACTGAGCCAAAATCAAGTTGGATGCTTAACTGACTCGGCCACCCAGGCGCTCCTCACACACTTTTTTCTGAAGATTCTCTAATGTTAAAGTCTCTCCACCCCGCTGCCTGGTGCATCAGAGTGATCGAACGTTAGACTTTGATACTTCCTTTTCAGGAATGATTGTGAATGAGTAAAGAGCACTTCCTGTAAATACATAGCTGTACCAAAGTTATTTATAGGAGCACTGAATATCATGTTGCGGTTCTTTGACAGATTTGGTATTATTTAATTATCAAAGCTGTTAAAACACCATCTTTCCTATCTGTTACAGTTCTGGGGCCTGTTTTCTTCTCCTGTGGCAAGATAGGCTTTGGTCTGGAATCCATGCTTAGATCTAAGTGGCCTTACAGGAGGTCAGATTGCAAGTTGGAGACTGGGGTGAAGGTGTCTTTGTCTCCTTGCCCCGAGGACACACTGCTCTTGCTGCCTAGACAGCAATCCTAAAACTAGCCAGCTCCACATCTAACTAGGAGAAGGGGACATCTTTAGGATTTGTATATGCAAATGTGAAAATGAGAACAGCTGGTTGAGAACCATTGACCTATAGACTGTAGTAAGTCTTGGATTCTGGAAAATTGCTTTAATACTTTCTTTTCATCTGAGAGTTAGATGTTTGGTACTGCGTGTTTCTGGCAGATGTCACTGAAGGAAGGGTGGGATGGATGAAATGAGTAACCGCTATTGTCTATAACAGTGATGTAATAGGTTGCAATTCTACTCTTTTTTGTGAAAGTATTTTTCAAGATATTTTGTAGTTCTAGTTTTGCTTTCATATTCTTGCAGATTTACAGTATGACCTTGAGATTGTCTGCCTTATTTGAAGAAAAAATGAAGAAAATCTCCTCTGATTTTAAAATTGGTCAAAAATTCAATGAAAAACTTCGAAGAAGCCAGAGGTTCAAGAGACGGCAAAATTGTAACCGTGTCAGTCAGGCCAACAGAAGTATCAGGTGATGGCTTATTTCAGGCTTTGTATGCAATTTAAAAAGTTTCAGGTTGTGATACTTCTTTAATTTTATTATTCTACAATGATTAGGAGTATAGTATATTCCGAAAGTTGTTTTTTTTTAATGGCTTGAAAATACTGTGTGCATATAGAGCTATTGTGTAATTTGTAATTAGGTAAATTTTTAAGCATTTAAGGAAAATTACAGATTTTTAAAATTTTACTAAGGATTAAAGTATCATTTATGTATTTACATAAGAACTTTTTTTTTTTTTTTTTTATAATGCAGAGAGTAAAGTGATTACTTTGGGTGTCGAGCATTTGATTGTGTTAAGAGAAATAGCGATTAGGCACGATGTGCCCTATTGTTTCTGAGGATTAGTTATAAAGAAGACATAAAATGCAGGGCTTATTCTCTGTCAGGAATTTGATATTAATTTGTATTGTGTCATCTTTGTGTAGCCTCCGTTACTGTCAGGTTTCCAGGTATGTCACAGTGTTGCAGCGCGAAAGTGGAGTCCGTCCCGTGTCGTCTGTGTCCAGGCTTGTCTTGAACAAGCACCGTGTCCGTGATGGGCGTCTTCATGCATATTTTGGGGACCGTGCTCTGCATCTCTGTTCAGAACCATCTCCTTCAGATCAATAGTATTTAAATCTCATAAGCTTGTTTTCGTTTAGCTCCCTCCCTTCCATTTTGTGCTCTTGTCGTCAGATTACATCTTCGTTTTATCTAGTTTTCTTTCAAATCGGTTAAGGAAAGAATAAAAACGTCACTGACACTGTTATTTATATTTACCTATGTAAATTACCTTTCCCAGTGGTTCTTATTTCTTTGTGTGGGTTTGAGTTACCCTCTGGTGTCCTTTCTTGTCAGCTTGAGATCCTTTTGTGTTTCTTGTAAGGCAGATGTGCTAGTAGTTAATTCTGACAGTTTTCCTTTTGGACTAACTAATTTTGCTGGACATAGAATTCTTAGTTGACCGTGTTTTGTTTTCCTCCCAGCATCTCTCCCACTGCCTGCCGAACTCTGTTGTTTCTGATGAGAAGTCAGCTCTCAGTGCCGCTGAGGTTCCCTCCCTCGTCCATGTGGAATGGTTTTTCTCTTGCTGCTCTCACAGTTCTCTGTCTGCATTTTGCAGCTGACTTTGATGTGTGTAGGAATTTTTCCAGCTTTGTAGAAGACTGTTTTTCATAAAATCTGGGTGGTTTCCAGCCATTACTCAATTTTTTTCTGCCCCTTTCCTCTCGTTTGTGGGCTGCCATTATACATATGTTGATATGATGGATGGTCTCCCACAGGCCTCCGAGGCTCTCTTCATTTTTCCCCCTTCTCTTTCTGTTCTTCAGATGGGATAATAATTTATTGACCTACCAAGTTCACTAATTCTTATACCAGCTCATACCAGCTCACGTCTGCTGTTGGGCCTATCTCGTGAATGTTTATGTCAGTTACTGTGCTTTCCAACTCCAGAATCTCTGGTTGGTTTTTTGTAATTTCTGTGTCTCTACTGATATTTTCTGTCCTCGTGCTTTTCTTTAATTCTGTAAACATGATTTTATTTGGTTCTTCAAATGTGTTTATAATGGTGGATTTAGCTCAGCATCTGGGTCCTTTCAGAGACAGTTTCCATTGAGTGCATTTTTGCCTGTGTATGGGCAAACTTCCTTGATTCTTGGTATGTCTTGTACTGTTTTGTTGGAAGTGGGACAAACTTAGTAATCTGGTTTTCTTGTCGCTGTTTGTTAACATATTGTAGAAACTCTAGACTCTGATTCTTGTCCCTCTGTGATGATACTTGTTGCTGGTTTTGTTTAGTGAGTTACCTTAGACCAGTTCTGTAGTTTGTCTTTCCTGCAGTGGTAAGCCGCTGAAATCTGCTTTTTAAAAATTTATTTTATTTTTTCTGAGAGAGAGAGAGACAAAGAATCTTAAGCAGGTTCCACACTCACTGTGGAGCCTGACACGGGGCTTGATCCCAAGACCCTGGGATCATGACCTGAACTGAAATCAAGAGTCGGATGCTCAACCAACTGAGCCACCCAGGCGCCCCTTAAAAATTAAAAAAAAAA